AAATTCACCTTTTGAAAGCAGATACCCTAGCCATTTAGGCAGTGTTCTGGTGAACAACTCATCTCAGCCCCTATCAGAAATCAGATCTATCTGGCAGTAGTAGGGTACCATGCTTGAGTATTTCCTCTGGTAGGAGAGTGCTGTTGCAACTAAATGCAGGGTCTGCACCACACTGTATTATAATGATAAGTGTGGCTGCTCTGGAATGTAACTAATTTGGTGGCATCCTGACAGCACCCTGGTTTTTGCATACATGTGCAGCAGTGGTGATTGGTGGCTGAGCAGCAACCCCAACAGAGCCTGGAAGGAGTCCCACCACATTCCATTCACTGTGTTCTGCACTGTGAGATGCCACATGAGAAGGTATGTCGATAAAATGGGAAATAAAAAAATTCCAGGTCTTTCCCCTCCACCCAAACACCCTTCTTATTAAATGAAGCGCATTATTAGGAAACCTGCATTTCTGGAGTCCTATTCAAAGTGAGTCACCAAAACTGCAGCAGATTATTTATGAAGTTCATAACCCTTTGGATGGAAATCTCCTAACTCTGGGATTTCTCCAAAGCAGCTTAGGAAGGGCAGTTCAAGAAGTCTGAAGATATTTGCCGTTCATATCGTTGCATGCTTAGCTCTGCTAAGTTAGTAAATTTGAGAAATACTCTCTTAGCAGTGAGGCTACTTAACTGATACCATAGCAAAAAAAAAGATTACCCAAGTAGTTTGGCAAGTGAGTGGTTTATGCCTGTAGTTAAAAAGATCTGTCAATGATTTGGATTTCAAGCTGGATTTTTTTCTCCTTTCTCACATGCTGGAACCCAATTCAGAGGATGATCTGTTTAATAGTAATGGAGAAAATGTGAAGAATAGCACCTGGAAAATTTTGGGGTTATGGCACAGGTGCATATGAGGCACACGTGCAGCTGTGAAGCATATGGGACTCTGTCAGTCATCACACGTGTGAGGACACTGAGCAGTATAGAGAAGGGATAGATGTGAGGCTGTCCAATGTGTAGGTAAGACAAGCAGCTGAAGTTTTCAGTTGCTGTGCTTGCCCGACATTGCCACTGATTTGTTCAGATGAGAAATGCCAACTCATAGTAACAGGTTGATTTGATTTCCCAGGTGCAGTGAAAAGACATGAGTCAAAGCCAGGTAATGCTGAATGCTCTGGTCTTAGGGGGTGTATTGGTAACCTCAGATTTGTTGGTGATTATTAGAGGTTTCTGTGTATTCCAGAGACATGAAAATTATACCAATCAATAGAAATTAAAATAAACTACCTCCAAAGCTCTTCTCATGCCTGATACTGACTCTGTTAAATGACAGTGACTAGACCTCAAGGCAAAAGTAAAGATGTTTATAATCAATCTCTTCCTGTTAGTGCATTATGTTGTATTTTCACTGTAGCATACATCATATTTTCACTGAATATTTCACATTGCTGGGGGGAAAGGGGGACCTGTATTGACAAGAAACACAAGAGGGCAGAAGGGGATGGATTCCAGCTTTGAGGGATAGCACAGGAGGCATCACCACTCACGCTATTGCCCCAAGGTTGTATGTGATGCATTCTCCTGTGTATTAAGCAGGAGATACTGGGAACATGCACAGTACAGTGCTCAGGTGGCAAAACCCATGGCTGATTTCTGGCTGTTAGGGAAATTAATTAATTGCAAATATCAAGTAACTTACTCATTTTGATAAATGGATGGAGATCAGATCTTACACAAAACCAGGATGTGTTGCCATAGCTCTGCAAACTATCAATAATATGAGAAAGCAACACTGAGTTAAAATGTGGTTTAGGCATATGCAAAGTTTTATCTTAGTATTGGCAGATGGAAGTTGAGAATAATGTCTTGATATCAAATGAAATGTGATGGAGTGACAAAGGACCTCTAACTAAATGGGTGGGGCTGCTGCAAGAGGCCATTCATTAGAAAAAATTTCGCAGTAGGAAAAAAATAATCAAAGAGTTTTATTAGGTGACTAAAAAAATTTGTGAGTTAGCTAAACAAACATTCCAAAGGTAGGACTACTACAGTATAAAGAAGGAATTTAGCTATGTATAGCTCATTAAAAAGGACTCAGATGCCTATAAAAGACATTGATTTCTTGCTGTATTTGAAATTTCTGTTAAAATGGAATATATTTTTATATATAATTGCTTATTGCTTAATTTATGCAGGTTTCTAAAGCCAATTTAAATAATTTCCAAAAGTTTTTGGATTTTGTCCATTGGTTCCGCCTCTGGACTATCTCACGTTGTTCTGTATCATCACATGGGCTTTTATTCTGTCTCTATAACTTAGCGTCTAGCAATACTCTGTATGAAAGAATATGTTTAAGTCTGGAAAATGTATTTTTTAAGACACAATACCAACTTATGTAGATACAGTCACATTTTTGCTTTGGTATAGTTTGCAGGGTCACTATGTAACCGTTCACGTTTAACCTTTTGTGAAATGAAAAATTCATTGGAAGTTTTTGGCTTATATGAATAGGAAAAATGGCTGTAGTGCCATTGACCTAATTGTGCATATTCAAGTCATTGAAGAAAGGGAGAAAAAATGTGGAGGTGTAATTTCCACTAAGAAATATTGATTCCTGTAATTTTGGAAAATACAGACCGGATAAAGACACATGTCACCAAAGTTTGGGAAGAATAATCCATAAATAAATACTTATTAGGGATTAAGTTAAAAAGACCCTTAAGAAAGCACTGCTAACAGACAGGGGAGTGATATGAAGAGTAGTCTGGTGGGATAGATGCAATTAGCAAACTACTACACCTTTGAGATGAGATTTTCAAAAGAGTGTGATGGCTTTGGGTACAGGGAAGAAATAATGAGCGAAAGTTTTTGGTTTTATTGCCAAGTCAAAATTTGACAACTTGAAGTCACATGTTGCTACAAATAGCAAAACATGAAGAATAGCAAAACATGGAGAAAACTGGGCTGTTCATGTATAGCCTACTCATGTGTCTACAGATAGTCCAATATCTAGTCCTTGTATTTGTATTTCCTATTTTAATGCACTATTGCTTCTATGTTTATTGCAAATTGATTCTGAAGGATACCAGTAAATGTTTCATTTGTATTCTTTATTTCCTCTTATTTAAATTAGTATGAGCTCCTCAATGTCAGAGATCAGAAACAGTGCTTGAAAAAACATGGTAGTAATTTATGTAACACCCTGGCACTCTCAGATATTCAACATCGTCCAGTGTTCCTTCCACTAGATGGATTTTCAAAAGCTGGCTTCTGTATTTCACACCTGCAAAGTAGAGCAATATTTAGTAGGAAGCACAGGGTGCCTGCAATTAATTCTGAATGCAGAGGTGAAATCTGGCCCCATGCATCAAAGAGCTGCTTGGAGGCTATTTCTCTGGTTATTTGCTCAGCTGACTGTGTTTGATCAGAGCTGATGTCCTCAGTGGTACAGTGAGCCTGACATGCTTACAGGAATCTGAGTGCATTACTAATTGCAGTCACATTGCAGAATAAATAAATCTGAGGCTTTTCCCTATTTTTGAATTAGTGCTTTTCACTATTGAAATAACAGAATGAGCACTCGTTGATTCCCTGTGATCCATCTGGAATCATTCTGTTTATATTTAAGTTCCGTGAGAACAAGGTTCCCATTTGTATTTCAAGGGTATTTACCTAGTTGTATTGGGGCCTTTTTTGTTTTGTGATCTGCAGCTTCCTGGGACCAACTGCATCCCAAATAGTTGTCAGTCTCGGATCTTGTGCTCATATTACAGTCTCTTTGACCCCTGCAGATCAAGATTTTCTGAACAAGTCCTGTTGATATCCTCATATGCAGAGTTTTTCTCAACTCTTTTTGATTCTCATGGAATTTCCTTTCCCTTGAATTCTATTTATAGTGGATACATATTGCTTTGATTTCATGCCTATTTTCTCTACAGCCTGATGAAGTTAAAATAAAAATTTTTTAAAAAGCATAAAAAATGCAGAGGGCTTACCAGAACAAATGTTTAGTAATAGGACTGATTCATGCCCAGAGTACAATATGAATAAGTTGTGGGACTGCTTGCATGACTAAGACACTCAAAATCAAGTGCCTGACCCTGTATATTTTGTTGGATTATGTATAATTCTGCTTTAGCTGATAGTCCCTCTGGAAAATGTTTCAAGGCATCTGCATTTTTCACACCGTGTGGGTCTATTAATAGTTACGATAGTGCCAGTTTTGTAGCACTGTGAGAGGAAGAATGCAGGTGGAAAAGGGGCACTGAGCAACAGCAGACACTGTGGTGTATGTGGTCAGCGTCCTACTAACAAGTCTAGCAGTGGCTAGTGAAAAAACACACTGATCACACGGCATAGGAATAGGAGTAAATATTCTCAAAGGTAATGGTAATAACAGAGGTTTTACGAGGAGCTGAATTGGTATGAAGCACCTCTAGATGTCACTGCAGCCTTGTAAAATGTAGGTAATAGAAGGCCATGCAGCTGACCTTATGGCTTACACGCTCCAATTCCTGGTTACTGTTTCAGTCAGCCCGTAATAAATTGTTGCATCATTAAAAACGCCGTTACCAGATGTTGATTAACAGCAAGGCACTTTCTGATATCTGTCAGTAAGGCTGTTACTGAGCATTTTACTAGAATATTGGATATTCCTAGCTTTGGTTTAACCTAGGTTTTAACAGCAAAAGCTAGGGCAGGGCAACAGCTCATTTTTGGATGGTTCCTTCTTTTAGTCTCTGAGGCTCAGTCCTGATCTTTTCTGGGCTGTTTTTATACCAACACTGATGCTGATTACAACTGAGAAAATTTCCCTTGCTTTACACTGGTACCAATTCAATTGGCTTGGTAGTGATTAAAAATAAGGACCATCATTTATAGGAAATGTGCTAGTTAGAACATGGAGTATTTGGATTTTTAAAAAAAAATCAGGATGCAATTTCATGAGGAACAATGCAACATGTACACTGTATACAATGACTAATGTGTTAATCACCTTCTTCGCAGGTCCTCACAGAAAAGTCGCATTTAGCTGAGACAGAAACAAAAGAAAAGAAGCCACCAGATTCAACAGGTTAGGCTACTTTTTTTTCTGATCAGTTTCTAGTTCCTAAGAGTACAACTACCCAGAAATAACCACTGCTTTCCTGAGCAGCTCCAGTGAAGTTGTTTGGGTTATATGTGTGCTCATCAGCTTGAGTGAGAATTGTCAAAGCAGCATCAACCTACCTTTCACATGCCTGTGCACAGGGTGTCAAACTGCTCAAAAAAGTGCTTTGCATAAGGAGTTTATTAACCTTGACTTGGCTGACAGTAATTTTGTGTGAGAAAAGCATTTTCTAGTGCTGTGTCTGAAAGGAAATGTTTGTGACCCATGATATCCCTGTTTTAAATAAGTAGTATACACTTGCCTAGGAGACAGTTGCACTGACCTTGAAAGTGGGAGAGGAAAGCAAGTGCCTAGTTCAAAGTACAACAGAAGTTATGCTAAGTGTGCAGCCCTACTTTGATATGGTTACTATCAGAAAACCACTGATAGATTCCCTGGTAATCTGTTTACTTACAGAGGAGGCCGTCCAGGAGAGCCAGTCCTGCTCTCAGGAAGAAGAAGTTGATAAACTCAACAAGGAAAATGCCAAGAGGGAAAGTCCTGTTCTGCTTGAAGTGGATCCTCCCAAATTTCATACTGAAGGGTCAGAGGAGAAAGAAGAAAGTTTGACTTCAGAAAGCTATGATGAATATAGGAGAAACTCTGTTCAGGAATCCTTCACTCCAGAAGAGCAGCAGGAAGAGCATGCTGTTGATGATGCTTGTCAAAGGCTAACTGGGCAGGAGACAGAGTGCGAGTCCCCAGCAGATGAGGAAAAGAAGGAGGAACATCAGGTGCCTGGGGATGAACAACAAGAAGAGAGGGAGAATGAAGGGGAGGGAAATGCTGATAAGAGTGAAAAAGGGGTTGAGGAACCACCAGCTCCTTCCCAAAATGAAGATGAGGCAGAACAAAGCCATGATGAAGAGGCATCACTGGAAAGGTAAGTTTTGAAGCTCAAACTGCACATTCTTGAGAGAACCATGCTTTAGAGAAATGTGTAGTTCAACTTTCAAGGCAACCTGGCTGGTTAATATAAATATTGGTGGAAAATTTAGCCCACTAAGAAAAGGGAAAAATAGATTTATCTCTCTAATCTGAGTTCTAAGTGAAATTATACTCTAAGAAAAGACAGGCAAACAATCTGACATACATGGTATTAGCAGTGTGCTTTGATTATTTGCTTGAGAAAAAGGTTAGGAACATGGGAATTATGTTATGCAATTCTTTATCTCTGAGAAGAATTCTCCCATTGTTATGCTTATATACTGCAGCATCACACAAGCACACTGCAGCAAAATAAGTGTAGGCTAGGCCATGGGCCAGCTGGGAATTAACTTACTGCAAAATGTAGTAACTTAAGTGATAACATAAAAATGTGAAACTTTGCCCAGGTAATTAAATGGATTAATTTGTTTACTCTAATTCTTTCTTTGCTGCATTGATATATAACCCTTCAGATATAAACAGGTTTAAGCTCTCAGGGACCTACATGAACAGAGTGAAATTCCAATGCTCTCCCCTTTTTTTAAAGGCGAGATTGACAGATAAATGCTAAGTTTAGAAGAACTCGGGTGAGAATTTCAGTTATTGAGAAACATTTTGCTGTCATGATTAACCTAGGGACCATTTTCTATTTCTCCAAAGTGAATATTAAACCACTTTATCTTACACCATGAAACAAAATAACTTGATGTTATTTGAATGCAATATATGTGTAGGCATTTTTCACCTTTGTTTCTAAATTTGCTCTGCTTTAAGTGTACCCTGCACTAATGCCATGTTTTGTCCTTGCAGGTGTAAAAGCTGCGAAAAAGGTACAGGAAATTATAGTTCAATCACTGAGCAGACCTGCCAATTTGAGCATAGCGGTAGCAGTAAGCATCGAGTGAATGATGAAGGCCTAATCAAAGATGACAACAAAAAGAGCAGGGTAGATACAGAAAGTGCTGATGGCATATGTAATACTATAAAAAGCTTTTACAAGAAGTATTCCTAAAGCCAAAGCATTTGATTCCACTGGTATAACAGTGATGAAAAAAAGAGACATCTGTAGGAGAGACTGATTTCATTATTGTAATTAGCAGGGGAAAAAGGTGTGCATGGTAGCTCTGACAGGAAACAGTTGTTCATGGACCACATCTTAAGCTGATGAGAAATAACATAATTTTGTTTGCTTCCATCTTAGAGGCTTCTGTTCTGTCAGAAATTAGTTGCAACTAATTTGCTTCTGCCACAGCTACTCCACTAATACTATCCTCTCTTCCTCTTCTTTTAACAAAAAAACCTAAAACCGCTAAGTATAGAGTGGAGGGGGAAATTATGTCATGTGTGGCAAAATTGGTCGACCTGCAGAAGTGCTGAGAATGTGTGTTAACACAGAATCTGCAATGCTCTGGATGTAGCCTGAAAATTCAGCTTGCTCATATTCCTACCACCATAATCTGAAGTGAGAATAACTGCAGCATACAAAATCAAGAAGTCCAAACTCTTGTGTGGAGGCCTGAGTGATGCTGTTGAACAGTCAGATATATGGTGCTCAGGCACTGGACACTGAAGCCGTGCTCACTGTAGTGAGGCAGACATTTCCAATATTAGACCTCCAGCTTGAGAATTTCAGTGCCTTATCCCTCTACATGAAATTATGGCACATGAGGAGGTGGCCTGAAATATTTGAAGATGTGTGTGTGTCTGTGTGTGTGTGTGCATGCTTTGGACACAGGATGAATTTGTTTGCTTGGGGAATGGGAGAGAGTGGGGAAACATTAACTAAATGTTTGTGCTAGTTTTTTGTAGCAGGAAACAGGAGATAGCATACTAAATTTTTAAAATCCATAAACTGTCCTAAGCTCTGGCAAATTGGTAGGGATGCCATTAAAGTTAGAGTGTCTCTGTTGGAGCATCTTTGATCTGTAATAGGAGGTTGTTGTTGAACAGGGAGAAATCCTCTCTGGTTTGCAGGAAAAGAAAAATAGAAGGTCTGTCACTGGGAACATCTTGAAGGCAAAAACTTACACATAGTTTTAAAAAGCAGTCTGTCCTCATTAAAAGAACATTTCCTTGCCCAAAGTTTGGTAACACTTTGGAGCTGAGCTTTCAGAAAGACACTTTCTTCTGTCACTGACATACCGGGGCCCTTGGAGTTTGTGTTGTTAGAGTCAAATTCTGCCTTTAGGGTAGATGTTTTCTTGGCAATTTGTGGGTCTTGCTAACACGCAAAGACCATACTTACAGTCACACAATTCAAAGTCTGCAGAATCCCAAGTAGGTGGCAAACTTCCAGTATCCCCAGCTTTTCACAATTCCTTGACCATGAACTAACTTCCTGACCATATAAGTTATTAACACTGTCAAAAAAAACCTAGGTACACAGCTGGTGTCTTGGAAAATGGACATTCACTGTGAATAAGGACAATCTACTGCTGCATTAATGACCAGTGTTCCTGCCAGCTACATGCTGTCATGGGTTTTTTTGTTTGTGTTTTTGATCATTTTCATTGGAGTAATGAATGGTTTTAAAATTGCTCAACACAACTCACACAAAAAGGAGCTGGCATTCCAAACCAGAGAGCTCATGTTGAAACACTGGGGCTGTAGCCCTCCCAAACAGTTGAAGAAGTATTTGTCACCTTGGTCAGCCAAAGGTCACTCTTAGGAATATCAATCAAATGAAAAACAACATGGGTATGAAACTGAAGCCACAACACCCTGCAAAAAGTCCAAATTAGGCCTGCAGGGCTGGTCTCCAGCAGGGATTTTGACATCAGAATGACAGAATGGTCCAGCATGTGGAGGTCCAGACAATAATACCAGACATCTACAATTTATGCTGAAACTCCATAGCTGCTACAGTGTGGTGTTGGGAACAATGAAAAACAACATGGGTATGAAACTGAAGCCACAACACCCTGCAAAAAGTCCAAATTAGGCCTGCAGGGCTGGTCTCCAGCAGGGATTTTGACATCAGAATGACAGAATGGTCCAGCATGTGGAGGTCCAGACAATAATACCAGACATCTACAATTTATGCTGAAACTCCATAGCTGCTACAGTGTGGTGTTGGGAACCCTTC